GTCTAGAAATATTGCAAAAGATTCTCTGGAATGTCGAACTGTTCACTTTCCTCGAAAGTTTATTTGAAGTGGTTTTATGAAAGTTCCCAGAAAAAATTTCGAGAGTTCTAAATTTCGATTTATTGTTTAAAAAGGAATTGCATATTTTAAATACATTTATCAAAATACACCAATGGCTATAAAATATTCATTGAATTATTTAAAATAATCAAAATTAGATATTAAATATTTGCAAAATCATGTTTATTATATTATAATATATCCTAGAAGTTTCAAGTTAAATAAACTAAATTCTGCTAAAATAATATCATTTTCTACAAAATAATAGACACTGGATGAAAATAACAAGAATTTTATATTAAAGAATTACTGAAATTTTATTAAAAATACACAAATCTCTGGCAAATTTAAACAACAGCATGTAGACACGGATGAACAAAACTCCTACGCGAATTTTTACAAACGCATCGAAACAAAAATTCTTCGGACTCTAATTGCCATCGGAAATTTAAAAGTCCGCGAATATCATAGAATACACATTCCATATAGGACGCAAAAAAATAAGATACCGGAAATATAGTACTCGTCATAAAATAATAATACTTAGCGACTGGGATAAATCTCTGCTCAAGCTTCACTTCTTTAATTCTAATTGTTACGTTGAATTTTCACAAACATTCGCATATCTCCGATTAGAGTGCTAAGACTCTTTGTCTGAATATATTGTTTAAAACATTGTTTAAAACTAGTCGAAAAAATGAATATATTTGTAATAAAATTCCGCCAATTCTATCGTGCAAAATTATTTGAATATACTATTCTTACTTATTAATAATCGCTTTTTTCATTTTCACTTTCATTTCATTTTTCATTTTCAATTCACAAAAGCTTTTAACACCGACGCTAAAAACGTTCAATACTTTCATTTAAATCTAAACTACCCTCTGACATAATAAACACGAAGCATCTCTATAAGAAGCTTGCTGGTTTCGCTCTATCAAAGACACAAAGCCTCGAAAGAGAAGAAATTTCACAGAAACGTGGAGACAGGTCTCGAAATGAGGGTGGAAGAAAGGAATAAACAACCACTCGGTTTTCCACCGAAAGTGTCAAGGCGGAAGGTCGCGTTCATCGGTGCGTGCTGACGAAGAAAACTGCCCTCCTCTTCGATGGTGGTTTTCGAGCCAAGCTTGTAGCAGCTTCGTGCGAGCTACGAGCACATTTATTGCCCCAATGCGATGTAGCTACGTTATTACTCGGCGAAGTGGGCCAATGTTGCCTGGCTGGCCTGGAATCGAACTGATTAAAGCAGACCTTTCAGAAATTGCGCTTTCACCACCCTTCTTTCCCTCTTTTTGTTTCTATCTTGTAGCGAAGCTTCCTTGCTTCCTCGGGCAATCGTTTGAGTTTCACTTCGCAAAGGGTTGAGTATTTATTTCTTTTTTTTTTTTTTATGGTAGAAGTAGAACATGCAGGTTTAAATCGTTCGAATTGGAGAGGTGTCGGTCGACAAGGAACTAATTTTAGATTTTGAAGTGCACAAAAATTGTAACTCAAAAGTGTGAAGATGATAATAGTTGTAGATTATAATATATGCTGTGATTTACGGAAAGCTTTCTTGACTCTTCAGGAAATGATTTCGGTTTCATTTCGCAAACGATAGAATTTTCTTTTATTGATTCTTCGATTTGAAGAAATAGCGATTAATGAGGAACGAATTTTGGATTCTTTAAAACGTGTAGAAATTATAATGCAAAAGTGCGAAGTTTAATCAGATGAATAACCATAGATTATAACACAACCGTTCATAATTATTTGAACGATTTCAAAGTTGTAACCAATGATGATACAATTAAAACAGTATTCATTGGCCGGCAAGAAATTATTGTGCGTGAATTGTATAATCAAGCGTCATCAACGGTCGTTAGTCATGTGTATAATTACTTAATCTACCCTAATTATCTCGTTTTCTCGTCAGTCACTTGCAATTAAAGAAACCACGCGCTATTTCGAATCAGAAAATATTTTTACTTCCGCCAAATCTGAATACGGGAAACTTGAGATAAAATTAATTAAACGCAAATTTAACGAAAAGCTAGGCGGAACAATAATTAATCGCATTTTCTAAATTGATTATTGCGTTTTAATTACAATTACAATTTTCCTTGCACCGAAAATCTACAACAAACAGCTGCAACAATATTTCCGCCGTCTCGAAAGCTGCCACTTCGTTTAAACCCCTAGACCCCTAGACTACTTAAGCGCTGAAAAGGTGAAGTTGAAAGTAAGTCGAAACAAAAGCAGCCGAGGTCTGTTAATTAAACTTTCGCCCTTGGAGAACGTTCTCTCAGCTCGCGTTTTCCGTGTCTTCGAGAAAAAGCAATGCTCTTGGCGCATAGACAAGACTGAATCTTTTACTGGGATAACGGCGAATCATCATTTTCCTTATTCAACCAGGGCCGTTTTAATGATTTCACGAGTGCTTCCAGGTCAACCGAGAACGAAAAGCGTATCTGGTGCGTGATATTTTCGTGCGTACACACGCGAAACAATTATACGAGGTGCTTATTTACCAAATTGGTTAAGTCCACAACACGGAAAGTAAAGAAAATTGATGAAATTATATAAGAGAAGCATCGATCAAACGCATTGGCACTAAGATTTCGAAAATTTCTAAAAATATAGTTAACCACTTTGTTCTGTGAACGGCTCAAATATCGCGTCATCGGGCGTGGATTTTGTTAACGATTTTTTCTTCAAAAGGAACGAGATCAACTGCTTTTAGTTGACATTTTTTACTTTCCAATATAATATTCTCTTATTTATACTTGTCTATTCTCTAGACACAAAATTATTTAAACGGAAGGGTCTTTTTAAATAAAAAAATATAGCCCTTTTTTAAATGAAAAATATTTTTCAGAGCATTGATACAATCGTAGAAAATATAATAGATGTTACACAATTGACTAAATGAAATACAGTTGATTCTTTTTCACATCCACAAAATTATCATTGCTGGAAAGCCGATCTAATATATATTTGCTACTTCGTTTAAAGTTTTCCATAAATCGCAGGTGGTAAAAATGTATGTAAATTCTGGCTGTCGAAACACAAGCTATAAAGAAGCAACTTTCGTAAGAAGTATTTTCATGAAATTTTAATTACGTCAGAGAATATTTCAAATTCTAAAGTTAAACGAAACACTCCGCATATTTGAAGTGCAGTAATAAAATGCAAGAGCCTCGATCAATATTTGCGAGGAAAGGTCATTGTTGGCGGAATTTTCGCGCGTTTCTTGCGGTTTTACGACCGATATTCCTTCTTTCTCTCCCTTTTAGCAGCTCGTTAGCCGAGAAACGGTACGAAAAGAATCCGGGTAACGTAAATTCGTCGTAAGGCGCAGCATTCCACCGTAAACAGAATGAAAATAAAATTTCTGGTCGACGTTTGCGAGCAGAGCACGTGGTAGATGCGCTTAAAATGTTGGCTTAGGTCTTGGTAATTGAGTAAAGTTGGCCCGGAAAGACAATAAATGGAATGACCGGTTTGAAGAAGGCCGCAGCCTTTTGAGATAAGTAGGTTACACGTTGGGCCTGGATTACAAAATTCTAATGCAAAATTCAGGGAAGGCTATGACTGATCCTGAGAATGAAAGGAAAAGAACTGGCTAATTTAGTGAGACAGGAAGCTGAGAGCTCTTGAATGGCACGAGACAGGAAAACGTTTCGTTTTAATCATCCTGTGGGTGTTTTCTTTCCGTTTTTTAATTAATGCGATTGAATCACATGAAATTTGTTGTATTTTTCAAAGGCACAGATATTTTATATTAAAAAGTCTATATACATCGAATTATAAAAACACTATTAAATGATTTCACAAACGCTTAAACATTATTAAACGTTGTTTTATTCACTTTTATATATATATTGACACGTGTTCTATTGTATTGTTGTAAACTTCTGCTATTTCTAGTAGCAAGGGAAATGATTTTGATGTACGATTTAAGCGAAACACCCTATACACAAAAGTATAGAAATATACATGTTTCAGTGTTAAGTATAAAAATATGTACCGAAGGACGTATATTTCTATTTCGAGAAATAAACTTTATCTTTACAAGGTATCAACACGATCTGCTAGCATGTTCTCTAGTATCCAACTACTTTCATCTGAAACACGTTTTCGCAACTTTCACATTTGTTGAGATATTTGCTTTGAGTTAGACTTCGATTTTTTAGACTCGTCGAAAGTATGCATTTATGATATTGGAATGTTAATTTTAAGGCTCGTTCCACTTGCCAAAGTAATTTGCAAAGTCAATAACGTCAATGGTATACGATATAATAAAAAATGTAAAAACATATTGCAAAATACAGTTTCAAAAGTATTTAAAAGAAAAATAAAGAAAGTACGAAGGATACTGGAAAAAAGTTTCTTAGGACCTTGTACAGTGACTTTAGCATTCTTCCTATTTTCTAAAGTAAAATTCCTTTTAAAATGTAAATGTCCTTGTGATACAGAAATTCAGGTATACAACTATTGCAAAAAGAGTATTAAAAATGCTAATTAAGAGTGTTAATGTATACGTAAAATGCCTAAAATATTGGTTATGAATGATATCGATATAAGAAATTTATGTTTCATCTCATTTTCGTGAATCGAACAATATTCATTGCTAGACTACGTTGTGTCTGGCCATTACGGAATATTCTACTTAAGACGATTATTCTACTGTAATTCTACTGTTCGTTGAACTGTTGTTCGCATATACGTTAAGAGTTGTTGCTGAAAATTATTGACAATAACGACTCATAATATTCAGATTTATATGATTCGGCGTTTTCCAATAAAAATTGAAATTATCATCGATTTGAATTCTAAATGAATTATTATCGACTGGTCATTTTTCTGACAAGCAATATTATTACATAGTAATGTAGATATTTTGCAAGTAATGGAGAATAATGAATTAATAACATTGGTTTCGTATCTGATTTCAGATTCTACTGGGATCTCTGCATGCTCCTCCTGCTGGTAGCTAATCTGATAATTCTGCCAGTCGCCATTAGTTTTTTCAATGACGACCTAAGCACTAGGTGGATAGCCTTCAACTGCCTTTCCGACACGATATTCCTCATAGACATTGTCGTCAACTTCAGGACAGGTGAGTACACATACGAAACTCATGTGATTTGAAACTAAAAAGGTTTAATCTTAAGAAGTGCAGGTAATAATTAGATAATAAAATATAATCAATTTATCCAAATGTCCAAAAGCACAAATAACATTTAATGTAACGTTTTAGAAAGCAAGATAATCAATAATATCAGTGTACCAGTTAAAATAACGAAAGCTGAGAAGCAGAAAAATAACGATTTATCAAAACCACGACAGTAAAGATTGTAAGCTACCTAAAGAAAAGAGATAAAAACGAGAAAAATTACAACGTTCGCTCTCGCAGAAAGAATACAAATGTTCTGTAGTAAAAATTCAACATAAATACATATTCAACATTGCCGGAATCTGTATTTTAGTATACAATCTGTACACATAGTATAAAAGGAAGGAAAAAGTCAAGAAAGCTGGTTATATCTTTCAGCAAACTTCGTTTTCCTATGAAACACTGTTACAAACATTTCCAAATCATAAAATATTCGACAGTTATCTTTTCGTTTGCATATTTATTTACTCAGAGAATTTCTATCCGTAATATAAATACAATTTTTGCGTAGGTTCGTATTTTATCAACGCAAATTAAAAAGATAATCCAAATAGAAATCTGTTTCGCCTACTGAAAGTTATAGTGTGCACTCCATTTTGGATATTTCACATATTTTCGCGTATTCTATTCATCCTGTTCATTTGTATATGTTGAAATTTTGCATAAGTCTATAAAAGTCAGCAGTCTAGATATAACAATCGCCAGTCGGTCACTAAAGACACATTCATACAATTTAAAGTCGCTCGATAATAAAAAAGAAGGAGGCAAGCCTAGGGAATCGAAGACCATTTGCTAACGCGAATCTCCCCGTCTAAAAAGTTTCTCATTCCGATTGAGTTCCGTCCGCTTGCTCGTTTCAAAGCCTTATCGGCGGTGTGCTGAAGTATTCAGTTAAAATCGTTCGATCCCCAGGTACAAAAAGAAGCGACGAAAAGACTCGGCATTTTGCTGGACGATCACATCGGGACTAATGGTAACCTCGTGTCCGCGGAAGGGGAAGCCAGAAGCGATGCAAAGTTTGCATTGTCGCGTGCACGTCGGGAAAAGGACATTGAGGAAAGAATGGTCGACCTCGTTCCTCTTCTCATTTTTCTGTCGCCCATTCCGTGCTCCTCTCATCGGACCAACCCAAATCTCTACTTCCTCCCTAAACGACCGACGCGACGATTCAGTTAACTATACCACGCATTCTCGTTTTCATGTGCAGCTACGTGAACGTTGAAAATTATATGAAAAGTCGTGTTGTTTTTCATACATGTCTTTTCTAGTATAAAGAAGTGAGGGTGATTCGTATATAGATTAAAGTTAGACAGAACTTTGGAGAGAAGAAAGAATTTGTTGTTTCGAGGAATTTCGAAGTTTGTGTTCTCTAGTGGAATAATAATATTAGCAACGTACAATAAATGCGATTTTATTAAATCACAAATGTCTAAAAGGGTAGATCTTTCCTGTAGATATTCGTCAGTTGTTTTTGTAAGGAGTTCATCGTTATGCTTCCAGGCTTTGGAAAGGTCTCAAAGATACTAAACGTTCTACAAAAAAAAGGGGGGGGAGATTCAATACATAGAATTGGAAATATGATTCCTATTTGTTCCTCTGTGATCCACTTGGAATAACGAAAATATTTCACATCTCGAAAAAAATTCACATCTGTGTGAAGATAATTAAAAAATGTAACCTAGATAGAAAATTGTTTTATACGTTAAATGTTCTAAGCACTATGTTTCAGCTATTTTATATATTTTTACGTATTGCACATATTCCGCGTATTTTTGCATTTTCAAATTTTTCCATAAAAATCAGCAGACTAATTATCGCACGTTCGCTATTGATTAACAGCTAAGCGGAACTGATAGAATTTTATTCGAAAAATTCCCACAGCAGAATTTTTCATATATTCCTCCATTTGGTCGCGATTACGTAATATTGTTGCGAAAAGGCTTCGAGCTGCAGTCTCCTTTGAGATAACGTCAGTGTCACTGCCTTCAGAAAGCTCGGCAGAAATTTGAAAAGAAGAAACTTGTAATTGTTGACATTAAAGGGAAGGTTGCTGTCAGGAGAATCGTGAAAGAGAACGAACAAAAGCATGGAACCGAGTGAATCGTGGCTTTAACGCGAGTCGATTACATTTTTATGAAGTTACATTCCGATGCGGGACCGGAGGATCCAATTTCGTTTTATCAAAGGCGGTTTGAATAACGGAAAATAGACTGAAAGAGCTAATTCCTACAAAGCAAATTGTACGAATTCTTTAATCACATTTAGAACATCAGGTGGATTATTTTATTACTATTCGATAATATTAAAATACAAAATTTTGTTTAATTTATACTTATTTCTAGTAGTCAGTTGCGATTCTTTACAACAAATTTTCCTCGCTGCAACACATTTTGCAAACTAAGATACCTGTACACTTGAATACAATAAATAATAAATAAAAACTATTTTTATTATAGCTTTCTTAAATACAAGAACTCTTATCGTTACGAAGGTAACATAATCCTTGTTTCTGGAAAAATGATTCGTTTCGAGTTTTCCTATATATCAAAAAATATATTGCCTACATTTTCAAGTACGCACAGAAGTAATTTCCAAGATATCAAGAGATCTTGATATTGTTTACTATATTCGAGTTTCCTTTAGTATTGCGTCTATCTCATTGTCCACTGCTTCAACCAGCTTTCAATTACGACCCAAATAATTGAATTCGCTAAGCATCGACCAATAGCAAACACACTATTCGAAAACATCCTAGAGCCGCTCCTTCATTGGAAACCTATCGAGAGAACCTACACATCAAGAGCTTCCTAAATGCATCGTCGGCGGTTATTAAATCTAGAAGGGAAACGTCGCGGTGGAGGCACGTTCGGTTGGCAACCCTTCAAGCGGTTCCGTCCAATAATAACATTGCTCGACACGTATAGTGGCTCAGACGTTTTCGTTATTGCCGGGGGATTAATTTGAAACGCGTTTGAGTTGGATCCCAGGAACGGAAGGAAATTAGGTCACGTGCCGTGTCCGATGAGGAACCATTGTACGCGTTAAACACTGCACGTGAACTGCGTCGATTTGCGATTGTCGCGAATTCTTGATCCAGATTAACAGTCGTTGACCAATATTGCGTTCCGCGTGACGAATATTAACGACTGGACACTAGGTGGACCGGATACGGTCGATAAAGAAATGAAATGTTTGGATGCTAATGAGGCGACCGTTTGCGGGAAAAATAGAATGTCGTTGGAGTTGTCAGATATATTTATTATTTCTGCATTGAAATGTTTTGCAATGATATAATAGGATTTGGAAAAATAAGGATCTACAAGTGGATGGATGGATCTATAACGTTAATGAAGTGAAACAAGAAATTCTTGGTTAATATAGTACTAAATATGAGGGAAATTGTTAGATTTGATCGTTTTTGTTTTGAAATGTCTTATGATAATGTAGATAATGAAATTTGGAGATTAAATTTTTAGAAAACTGATAAATCTAAAAGCGGATGGGTTTATTAATTGAGAGATTAATTGAGAAAATCGATGTAAGTCATGAAATCTATTATTTTTATTGGAATAAAATGTGAAGATATATTTAACAATAACTAAATTTCCACGTTACATGTAAATGCCGAAATTGATCTATCGATAAAATAAATCGATCAAACAGATCTAAGAAAATAATATGAAGAAATCAAAATTTTATCTGATGAAATTATCCACATAACAATTTTTACAAGAAGCTTCTAGATGAATGACAAAATACTCAAACCGTCTAGGTAAACATTAGCCTAGATAATTTTCAATCCTCGAGGGATTGAGAAAATCGATGAAAAGATGAACACATACAGAAATAGTTATCTGTTGGCAAATGTGAGAAAAGCCACATTATAAATTTCAGGGTACCAACATGCAAATGCATATACATATAAATTATACTTGATACTATTGATCCTTCCACTTCTATTTATTTCCGTTAATTCGCTGTTAGAGTTTCTATTTATTTCTGAAGGTCCATTTATTGCGATCAAAGCGTAATCACCAACTCACTATGGCTTTTCAGAAACTTCAAAGTAACATTCAATGTAGATATAGATGTGTTGTAGAGGGATGTAATTGCAGAAAAATTCTGTATTTATTTGTACTTAAGAACGTGGTTTCAGATCTACGAAACGTTTGTTACTTTAAAAATCAATTAATAATTCTTATAAAATGTGATTTATATCGAAAGTTAGTATTTAAGAATTTTAGAACGCTCGTATACTTAAAAAATTAAGAGTTACGTAAAGATTGCTGTTTTTATATAAATATAATAATTAATTTGGAGATATTAAATTTGTCAACTATCTTACTAAAGATCTTTCTATATTAAACATTTTATTAAAATATCTTCCTTTACAAAAAATCTGATTAAAAAATGTTTCTTTGTCAGAAATTTGATTAAGGAAATTATATCATAATCTTAAGTTAAATTCTAATATTCTAATTATCAATTTCTTGATTCTAGCAATCCCTTTCTTAAATTAATTAAAATATTTTAAAAATAATAACAAAAATTAATAACAATTTATTTTTTGAACACATAAGAGATAAAAGAAAATAAGGAATAAGTAATGTCTGATTCGATGAAGGTTAAAATGTGTATTATTTGTGTTGCTTCCAGGCATAATGCAACAGGATAACGCCGAACAAGTGATCCTGGACCCGAAGTTAATCGCGAAACACTACCTCAGGACTTGGTTCTTTCTCGACCTCATTTCCTCCATACCACTAGACTACATTTTCCTCATATTTAATCAAGTAAGTGCATATTAATTATCCTCACTCTGGTGTACATATTTCTTGCATTAATTCGTTAAGCCAGAGTTGTGTTTTAGTTTCTCTGCAAACTCGATTTATGTAATTAATCTGTTTACACGAGCCTTGACGAGATACGTAACATTTCAACGTATAATCTTTCCAGCTGCGTAAATAAATTAATCATAGCTGTTTCTTGGTACACGAGACCAATATTTCAATTCTTTGTATTCCTACGACACTTAATTTTTTGTTTTTTATTTCGGTGTTAAGTTAACATTAATTTACACCCTGAACAGTAAGTAACATCTTGAAAGTCAGTGTGACTTCCAACTGTTCATTTTAAGAGAAAATTAATTCGTTGCAGTTTACTCGACACATGTATCTCTATCAGTGAGATACAAATGTAAACAATTTGGATTCATGGAATAGAATGATCGTAATACTTTGTAAATATTTGTGTAATTTCAACGTCCTCTTATATCTAACAGTGTTTCTATTCAATTGTGAAATTCCGTCAGACGTAATATACTTCGATGAGATCATCTGAGAATGAGAGCTGTTTAAAACGATGTACACATGAAATATTAATATTAAACAAATTTAAAAGCTTTTCAAACAATTTCATTCTTGTTTTCTAATTGATTTTTCTTGCAACTTCAAATTTTTCGTTAATACCGCACTAACGTAAAATGCCAATTCGAAAACTACTACCTGTAAAAATAATAAAACCAGATAATACGGTACAACAACCAGGAAAAATTACAGCGTTATTTAAAATAAGAATAGTGCTCGTTAAATTAACCTTACGATCGTTACTTTCAAAATTTGTAGCAAAATTAATCTCGCAACTTACAACCCTTTACCAATTTTTCTAAAGGATCCCTTTAGAAGCTTCAGGTTTAATTAACTCTATCTTGACAACGCGCTATAATTTCCATGAAAATCCCGGTAGACTAGACAACGCAAACTCGGTTTAAACCGCTCTCATTTACTCCCGATGGCGGCAAGCTGAGATTCAATTCCACGCAGCTTTGATGGGCCGCGTAGAGAGCCAACGTTCTCATAGGATAATCGTCTAAATCGTCAGTTTCAGGACTTTAGCGAGTCCTTCCAGATCCTGCATGCTGGCCGTGCTCTCAGGATCCTCAGGCTTGCGAAACTGTTGTCGCTGGTTAGGTTACTACGATTGTCAAGACTGGTGCGGTATGTCTCGCAATGGGAAGAGGTCTATGTGAGTGTTTACCATTGTTTCTTATACCAAGCACCGTATATATATATATCTTTTTTTTCATTTGATATTCTATTTATATATATATAGTATATATATATATACATACATATATATATACACCTCATATAATATACCCACAGCTCGTGTGATCCTTGTACAAAAATATGAAAGAAACCAAGCGTCTCGTCGTCGTGTCTTTTATTTGTCAGTTTCAACAAGTGACTGACTCTTTCTTTTGTCTCTATATATATGTATATATATATAGAGACAATGTTATATATCTATATTTATTTATTTTTTACCTTTACAACCTCCCTATCTGGCCGCGCTGTCTGTCTGTACAGCTTTGCGTCGCCGTTCGTTGCAATGTTTCCTTTTTATCTACGACGATGATGGGGCCTGGCTGGTCCCTCGTGGTTTCCATTCTTTTTTCATACGCGTGCAAGTACGTATACCGTGTATACGTTTGATGCCACATGTACCACACGGTCAGTTTTTGGAACTGTCTGCATTTACAGAGCATCAATTCCGTGTTTTATCGCAGAATATATGATATATGTAAGAAAGTATATAATATATCATTCTCTTTCATCACGGGATGGTAAAAAAAAAGAGAAAAACTGAAGGTAAATAAAAAAAAAATTAAAGGAGCTCGATGCAAGTCTCTGCATACGTTGTGTGTCCAAAGGCAGTGGTCTGATATTATACAATACATACATACATACATTTATACATGTGCATAGGTATAGGCTTATGAAAAAATTCATAAATATTCTTAATAGAGAACAATAAAATTATGTGATACGAGAAACAGAATGGACGTGACCGATCGAGTCAGGAGAAGTTCTCACACCAGTGGTGGATCTCCTTTCGTTACTTCCACGGACAGTCCCACAAACTTTTTCTCAGCCGGTCTGCCCACGTGTCTGGGTCGAGGTGAACTACGTCTCGTTTACAGCAAAGGCGAAAAAGCTTCGCCTCGACCAATTAATTCCGAATTTTATATGGGTAGAATTTTCGTCGGGACCAGTATCCAGGCTCTCCCGTCTGTTTTTCTTTTTGTTCTTTTAGTTTTTTCTTTTTTTTTCTTTGGTTCTGATTTTCGTTAGGCGACAGATTGAGCGAAACACAGCGAGGCCGCGTGTCTGTCTTCCACCATTGCGGGGAATCCCTCGGAAAACAAACTTCTTACACTAAAAACACATAAAGAGACACATACACGTATATAATCATACACATCTCCGTCTGCTCGTTATGTATGTTTATTATACCAATTTACAGCGTCTCCGCGGCTCTTACTCAATCGCAAATGTCTCCAGCATTTCCGTGAAAGAAAGTCTGTAAAAAATCGTTCGTGTCTCTTCCTGTGACGCGATTACCACTTGTACAATGTTTTATGATCTCTTACTTGCGTCGGTGTGTGACATTGTTATAATAATGTCTTCTTCGATTTAAATGTTATTTAATGTTGATATGACTAATCGATGTTGTTTCGAGCGTTATTCGAATTGGATCGTGCATATTTATACATTTATGAAAAATTTAAATCTATAAAGTGAATAGAATGCACATAACGTATAGTAAGATCCATCCTTTTCGTTGTGCTCGTAAGAATATAAATATCCATAAATGTCCTCGGTCTTCTAATTTATTTTATAAATAAATTTATTCACTTTCATTTAAACTAAAATTTGATAGAATTATACAGTGGTTTATTTTTAGAACGTTGAAAGTCTGAGAAAAGTTCTAAGTATTATGTGAGAATTAAAAGACTAAAAAATCGATGACAATAGTGACAATGTTAGACATTAGCAATTCTTAACACGAAATATTGATTTATCAAATTTTGACAATTAACCTCTTCGGACTTTCAAATAGGACATTTCACATGTCTGCTTTTCAATGTTTAAGAAATTATTCTAGTCGCTTAAGGTCATCACCATAATGATGTTTCATAAATTTATTTATTAATTTTCATAAAAAATATTTAGAATCACGCATCTCGACAAGCGAGATAATTCTTCCAAGTGCCTAATGATAAGAACATTTCATAACTGTTCCAATCTCTGAGCAGTCAACGCCTTATACGTAATTGCTTTTCACAGACGCTCGGAACTTCCAAGTCTTCCAAGTATCAATTTAACCAAACTCCCTTAATAATTTTCCTCAGATCTCCCAATCTCGAACAAAGATGATATTTCTCTAATTATATAACTCTTAACTCATTCTTTAATTTCGACGATATACGAACACGAGAAATTTCTCTAATATGTACAAGTGGCACGTGAGAAGAGTCCAATTTTATATAAAATCACACACACACACATACACACACACTCACTCACTCACTCACTCACTCACTCACTTACTCACTCACTCACTCACACACGTGCATGAGAGCTGACGAGGGCAGGCCGTGAATTTCGGTACAGAAACATATATCGTTGATATATTTCCGTCGAAGACGGTTTCTCGAGTGTGTTTCCGGTCGAATAGGCGTTCTCGCGAGGGTGTTCCACCGGCCAGATCGTGTCTCGTTAGCGATAGGTAAGTAGTTTCTCTCTTCGAGCGGAATTCCTCCTCTGGCTCGATCTTCCATGATCCACGCGTATGTATGTGTATGTGCATTAAAGCAATATACTCTCGATTATTCGTACGCGAATTATTTTTATACGACTGTCCCGAGCATCTGGCCACGAGAGAGAGAGAATCGTGTTCCCAAGCCAGACGCGCACGATGGAAATTCGGATCGTTTCCTCTGTGAATTTTAAAATGGGTCGAGGAAGCGTTCTCTCCAATTCGTTCGATCGGATCTTGGCGTAACACGCCACTATTGTGTTGCTCAGTAAGTTCTGTCTTTCTTTTTATCTTTTTTTTTTCTCTCTTCTGCGACTCATCTGCATGAAACACGCGAATAATCTTGTCGTAACTGAGAAATTACATTATAAGATATATACACATATTTTGAAGTTATGCTCAATACACTTTTATATATGAAAACTCTATTACGGCAGAGTTTATTCGTACTATAAGCCACGTATTAACACATTACGTACAAGTAACAGCTCCATAATAAGCAGTACACTGAGAAAACTAACTAAAGAGACTAATGCGATTCCACGAGACAGGACACTTTGTAGCTGCGACCAAGAAGAAAACGAAACTTTCACATTGATCAGAAATCATTGAGAAAGCACTCGTTCGTTCATTAGACAAGGCAAAACTATGCAATGTTTCGCACGTGGTACGTAATGGGTTAAGTTAAAACGGGGAAAACGTAAAGATGATGAAATATATCGTGGAATGTGTCAGCGAGAGGATATACATGGAGGATGTGTCGAAGGATCTAGCCGAGGACCTGCTCGAACATAACTGTCACACTTTTTACCCTTTTATGTATTTTCCTTCTCTTCCTTTTTTATATACAGTAATTCACGAAAGTATTTGGACACCTATCATAGGAAATTTTTGTAAATATATTACATGTATTATACAAAACTTTTTTCTTATAATGAGACGCGACTGTTATGGTTATAGTGATAGAATTTGGAATCTGAGAATGTATAATGTATATAGAAATTATAAGACATATAAATTAGTATATAGCATGAACAGTTGCCTTATAATTAGTGTTAAAAGAGATCCCATTAAATACGGAAACTTATTAATAGAACGAATGTTGTGTCTGTTTAAATCATTCAAATAATTTCGCAACCATAACGAAGTGTATTTCTGCAATAAATATTACGTAACTGCTATGTACATTTTCAAATTTCTTTCAAACTTTACCAATGTGATCATGTCGTGTGTCATAAAAAGGTTTCTGCAAAAACATTCGTAATATGTTCGAAAAAAGTTTCCACAAGTATTGGACACTTAGCATAGAATACTTGTGTGTCTGTATCATGCGTGTTATGAAAACATTTTAAAATTTCATTAGCACTGTAATGAGACACGAATATTATGATTACATTGATCAAATCTAAGAATGTACATATGTGTATAGAAATTACAAGATATTTATTGCAGGCATATATTCGATAAAAAATTAGTAATGTTCATTAATATAACGAATAATTGCCTATTTAAATACTTTTATGGTCTCTGCAAAATGAATTGTACTAAACAACTTATAATTTCTATATATACATTCATATTTCTTTTAGACTTTATCACACAGATATAGTCATTCTATAGGGTCTTATTACAGTGTTAATGAAATTTCAAAATGTTTCATATAACATATAATATATTCATAAAAGGTGTGTACAAGTGTTCGAATATTTTTGTGAACCACTGTATAAAGGACACGTCTCGGTATTTATATTCATGTATGATTTTTTAAGAGTCCTTTCTGTGTCAGTTTGATTGTATCTTGCCTTTAGCGTGAGCCGTGGCGCAACGAACAGACCAACGAATCAATCAGGCTTTCCGTCCAATCTCGAAAGAGCAACCTTTTTTCTAATCACCGTAATTATACTCTGAATGTTACTTGCGCTTGTGTTTGAGAACGTCTTGTTGCCTCCCTCTGTGCTTTTGTTTTATCTATCCCTAATCTTTTTTCCGTTCTGTTCGACGAGAGCCAGAATTCGTCGAGGCGAGCTTGCGTCGCGTGGTTCAATCATCGCTCCAATCACCGTCAGTCTCAGAAGACCCTAATCTTGTTAGTTCAAACAGAATGTTCAGGTTAGGAAAATTGTGTCGCAATCGGAACGCCGATGATATCGCGGTGATTTTCTCGTGTTTGATGTCTTTTTCTCTCTTTCTTTTTTTCTTTCGAATCGTCGTGATTCCGATGTTAAAAGGATTCATGTGCTTTTAATCTTGCCTAAGGGAGATTTTGAAATAGTTCAAGGTACGTGGATTGTAATAAATCTTGGATTCTAAATTTTCGATATTATCATTATGTATATTGAGTTTTGTATAATTTCAATGTGGTATATGAAAGATTCTATTATTTAAAAATTCTAAAACCCTGAAGAATCATAAGGTTCTTAGAGGTCTTAGAATTCTAAAAAGGGATACTAAAATCCAAGAAAACCTAAAATTCTAAAAAACTCGTGACGTCAACAAAAATGTTTTAAAATCTTTAAATAACAAAACAGTCTAGATTCTACAGCCTAATTTGTACAGTCTGGAGTTGAAATGTTAACATAAATAGAGTGTGTCATAATTCGTGACGCAAGTGCATTCTATTCTAAATAAATCGAAATGATAAAATAACCTTTCCTCGTATTTGTTATATCTAAAATACAAATATAGTAGCAATTTATAACGGAAACAATTACACAAAATGACAAACATAAATGTCAGAGTACGCGATTGAATTTCAAAGTTATATTTCTGGGAAACGAAGCTCCATGCAACAAAAAATTATTCTTCAATTTCAATTTATTTCGAGCCATGGAATCTACTGTACTCGCTTTATGCCACGAATTCTCTGTGAATTCTATATAAATCTCTCTTTCGTTAAATTTTAATTTACTTTCCAAATATTTATTTTAGATTTTGTTTAAGTATATAATATTGAAAAAATTAAAAGTACACGAAACCTCTAACATCTTTAAACTTCGTAACGAAAAATTATTTGAGATTGATTGCCCGGATCATCCGTTATAAGATTCGATGAAGGATCAAACCGAGATCAGTTTTGAGTTAGAAAATCGAGGAAATAAGGGACCGGTAATTTCCTTAATTGACGTCCTTCGTACTATCACGGTATTAAAATCGGATATTCTTCGACCATCTCAGCTCATCTCACAACTTCGGTTTTAACGAGCACGATTATAAGAAACGCAGGAAATTGCTGACTGCGGTTGCTACTATCGGTGATCAAATCATCTTCATATTCAAAAAAGACGTGAATAATTGAAACACCAATCTCATCATTAGCCATCATCTGCATCGTTCGACGATATTGGACACCTGTAGTAAGCTTAATTCTTGATGTTTCAATAAGAAAAAGCTTCTTTAGATTTGTTTTCTATTTCGATTGAAATTATCTTCAAGTAATTTACATAAAATAATAAAATAATTTAATCGTGTGTGAGAAGTTCGTGTTCCAAAAGAATTGATTGAAAATTGCAGAATTTTCGTTATTTACTACGATATGAAACAAGTTGCCGAATAGTCAATACATAAATTGTCGAAACACGCATATTATTTATATTCTATTGAATTCCATTCTACGATTTAAAAGTTAAAAATTGCAGGATATACAAGTATTCCAGAATCTTCATGAATTGTAAAAATTTGTGAATTGCAAATTATCGAATATCTAAAACAGTTCTACAGATGTCCTCAATCATAGATTGATATCATTGGATCGTAGATAACCACAACATTGCATTTTAAATGAAATTTTTGGATCAGATTTATATTTATAAATTTGATTTAGATGACGTTCAACTTTATAATATTTAATTTGAATTCTATATCTTATTGTATAAAATACAAAGCGAAAATTAAGAAGAAATGTTCCAAAATTAAGTAACTTGACTCAAATTATTATGAATGGTATACGATCCAACGATACCATTTTTACCATCGTTAAATAAAATATTATCATTAACAAATTATATAATACATTATACACATTATTACTAATAATATTAACTATCATTGATTATTGTTTCATCAAAAGATCCATATACCATCGTCCAAAATTTCTAGAATAATATTCGAAAACGTTGACCCATTTTCGTTTCTGTTAGTTCGCCGAAAATGCAAGCGTTCCGCGAAAACGTCGGATTGTTCTGACACGTCGTTTCTCTGAAAATCATGCGATTTCGCGGAGTTAGTCCCGCAGAGCGGAAAATGTTCCGGAGAAAGCCGATCACCAGACCGTTTCCACGAAAGATTCTTCCGTGTATCTTGGTCATGCAGCAGCATTGGTGGATTAGCTAAAAATAGCACGTGTAATGATACACTGCACACTTGGGCGTACTTAAAACTGATTTATATCAACGTTCCAGTTCAGTTACCCTAGGGATTAACTTCAGATTTAGACCCTAGACTCTGATTTGCGGCAAATGGTCCAGCCACGATAGATTCACGGTCGTACGGGTGTTACTCGATCCTCCGAAGTTTGATTTATTAGTTTGAAAGCGAATATACGATGAATGGAATGAATGAAATCCACCGAACATAGGTTTTTTATTGACTGTAGTTTTGAAATGTGAATTCATAGTCGAACTTGACTTGTAATTTAACGAGGAGGTTTATCATAATTTCTTCTTTTTTTTTGTTCTAGTAGTTCTTAGAATATTGTGTGGAGAATACGATTTTTATACGCTTTTGTACTTTTAATTTCTCTGTCACAACTTGTCAATTTTATTCATCGTAACATTCGGAATTATATTTACAAATGAATATTCCAAGTCTCGTTTAAAATTAAAAATTATATATTTTAAATTATATCGAAACAATTTTTTAATTCTAGATTATGATATCGTGGTACAATATATACATACTATGATCGATTATTGTCAACCGATTACAAATTGTAAACCAAATGTTGAATCAACAAGAAAAAAACAAGAATCAACGAGGATTATCTAACTGGGCCATAAACTCTGTTATTCCGTAGTCTACAATATTTGATTATACTTATCTTATTACTGACTGTATCATCACACAATCAGTTAGTGCCAGTCTTGAGTATCTCGGGACTAATACGAGACTAGACTACTAGAACGAGCTAAATATTACAAATTTTCTATTATTATTATTATAATCCTTAGAACTCTGCAGTTATAATTAATTAATTATCTAATAAACTATAATCATTTATGAAACAAACAATCAATTGTTTCATGTTTAAAGAGCCAAAAACCATACAGTCTTCTATATTCCAATGAGTGATATAAGAAGTAATCTTCTTTTTTACAACCTCAAACTTATAATTAGTTACTATCTGATACATTTTTGTCAGAAGAAACTTGTAAATTTATCCTCCGCGTTCTTGAAACAAGCGTTAGATAAATAAAACGAGAAACAAAAAATGAAAAAAAGGAGTGTAATTAAAGGCAATTTGTCCTTTATAGTACAATTGGTCTTGGATAATTTTTCTAATTTTTGGTACAGTCTAGTCTTGAAAGTGCCGGGACCAATTCCAGACTGGACCATCACTACCGTGAAAAATCTACGAACTGTACACACGAAAACCAACAAAAGAAACCAAAAATAATCTCTGCATAGCGAGGGACCTCGCGAACTCTTCCCAACACATCCAAGACACGCAGAACAACACTTCAAAAAAAAAAAAAAGAAAAACAACTAAAAAAATATTTAAAAAATCCAAGTAGTAGGCGTATTGCGAGAACACGTTTCCGAATGGGTTTGCAGATCCCCCTTTATCAACAGCCGGAGAGGCACTACGAGCGTCGGGCGACACCGCCCCAACCAGACCGAACCAGCAAGGTGTGCCTGCCTAGTAACCCCGAAACCAAGGCCAAATGCCCTTTCTTGATTCAAGCGTTCGTTAACTTAAAACTTAATGTTTCTACGTATAAATATAAATACATATATACATATATATATATACGTTAGATCATTACTAATATTATCTACTTATATATATACATATATATATAGTAAATTTTTGTTACGGTTACTGATTATCGTTACGATGTTTATTATGACCGTTTTTTACGATTGATTGATTATTCGTTGTCGTTTGGTTTGGAAGTTCCTATATATTATCATAGAGAGAACGTGCATAGTCTTGCCGTGTGATCTTCATTTTTTATTTTTCTTTTTTTTTCTTCATTTGTTCTGTTCAGTCTCAGTATCGAAGGATACTGTTTTGATACACCATACACCACGCCTTAATGATACATACGTACATACATATACAGAGTTATACACAAGCATATATATATATATATATACAGAGTTTTAGATCCCGATTTTCTAAAAGAAAGCGAAGCCGATCAAGAGCTTTCTTACGCAGCGTGGCTGTATCGTGATCGATTTCTTATTTATTTTTATCCTTTGATTTCTGTTTTTTTTTTTTCATTTATCTTGTACATGTATATTTCGTTTCTTGGTTTGTTTCCTTGTTTTTTTTAGTTTCGTTTCTTAGAGATCGATGTTGTTGCACGATGACATAGAGGTGTGAGATGACGAATGAAATATTATAGAGGATAGAGAAATTTCGTTCTGTTCGTTTCTGTGTCTGTGTCTTGCATCGTGACAGATTACTTGACATGCGCCCGATGTTTCATAGTACATACGAATTTAATTAAACCGTCGAGAGCGAAGTGTCTCGTTCTGTGGATCGTTCGAAAACGTGGTAGAAAGCGTCGAGAGGCAAACTTGAGAGAATCTCCGAGTCAGAGATATCCACCTTAGACATTGAAGAAGCCTCCATTCCCGTTTCAATTTTCGTGAAACAAGCTCTTGATCCGGCTAGCACATAGTCCCGTAGTCCCGACAATACTAAGTGTCACATGGATCATGTAGAATCCCAAATTGACAGTCGAATTAAATTTTAAAAACAACGAACACGAATCCAGACACAAAGTATCCATGTTACACTGACTAGCTCGATCCTTGTGAAAGTTCTTAGGAACGATTTGGTATGACATGTTGTCATGTATATTTTTTTCTGCCGAATTTTGTTGGAAAAATCCCTTCAACCGTTAGGTACTAACGTGCGTTTCGTTTTTAATATATAGTCACTGAGTCGTGTCGAATACTGGGCATCTCAACAAGCAATTTCAATGTTTCTCGATACGATCTCGATGATATTGGTTCTTCATTTTGGATCGTCATCGTGTCTCTGTGTTCCAATTGCATAACTTTTCAAACTGAAGTGACTATATAACGAGATGCGCATGTATATCGACCATGTGGATCGATAGTCGTTAATGTTGGTTTCATATGGAGAACGAGTTCTGCATATAGAGAGAAAGTGAAACAGAAAACGAGAGTATGCATGTAATTGTTTCTATTTCGTGATGTATCATGAAGCTAACGACGATGATAGCTGAACCAAGCACGCAGTAGACACGATGATAATTAAGAATCAAGAATTCTCTTCAACTTTAAAAAAACGAAAATTTTTTTCTTCGATAACGAACGAGTTACGTATGAAAAGCTAAGTAAAAAGAGGAAAGAAAGGACGATGGAATGAAAAGAAAAGAAAAGAAAAGAGAAAAATTTCGATCCATTCCCGAACAAAAGACTCAGGATAATAGGGAAATACTGTCTGAGGTATTCGACACGACACGCTATCCACATGGCTGCTCTACAGACGAGAAAGTTGGTTGGATTGACCGTAGGTCTGCCTGTGAGTGTTAGGTGTATATTAACCCTATTTGCCCGACATTTTTTTGGCGATGTGCCCGTGTTCAGTGTGCTCCTACGTTTTATTCTTCCATTCAGCCCTATATATCATCCCTATGTCATCCTAAGAACCACTCGATCTACGCCATTTGGTACGGAGACGAATTTTTCTCTGATCCAGTTGCGTCTCGTTCCCACATTTGCGTTTTGCTTGCTGTTCTATGTCGTTTAAATGCCTGATTTTTTCAGAGTTTAGACATTTCTAAACGTGTTTTGTTCTCCTTGATTCCTTCGTCGTCCACTTTCGTCTCCCTTGTCGCGTTGTTTCAGTTTCATTGGCATTTTTGTTCGCTGTTGTCTCCGCCTGTTCAAGTAGGAAAAGGCAACGATAGACAGACGCGTCGACGAATTAATGTTTCCATTATAGATTAGTAGAAATTTTACTCTGGTCGTTATATCATACTTCTTTTAGTCTGGACGAAGAAGCAGCATGCGGGTGTACTCGACGATCGATCTCCTCGGCTGTGGTCTGTATATTTGAACAAACAGTTGCACCCCGATACTCGAAACAGTTGTCCCGACCTATCTGTTGTTTTTCTCGCTTGGCAAAGTGTATTTATCGATGTATCGTTCGTTTGTTCTTTATTTCCATGGTTGCTCCTCCCGTTGTTTTACGAAGTTCTGCCTGTTTCGTGAGAATGCAGTAAGTAGATGACAGAGATCGTTCGTTGTTCAACCGAACACGATAGAATAGCACCGATTCTCGTCTTTTGTTGCGCGTATCGTCGTGTCGACCTCGTCATCGCGAAAAAGAACCAGAAGAAGCAATCTTGAAGAGTCTCGTTTTCAACACTGAAGACTCGAATCTTACAAATGCACAGAAGGATACGAGGAGACATCTATTCGCATTTATAAGCAAACGGAAAATTTTACTTTAAAAGATATTTGAGAATATGTTTTAATTTATTAGTCGAGGATATTTAAATAATATCCTGTGTTAAATAAATTGAAATTCGAAGAAATTTTGATTTACATCCAAATTTTTCGACGACCACGCATTAGTGTCAGTTTAAATTCAATTTCCAAGTGGTGATCAGTAACGTGGTACGCCGGTTTTCCAGCTACTCAAAAACCTTGATCGAAATTGGATCTTAGAGAACGATTAATCATAGCTGTCGCAGAGGAGTGATAAATTGCGAGAGATTCGCGCAAGTCTGTTTTCGTTCGTTGATTTCCACTCCGTCGAGACACAACCAGATGGAGAAATACGATGACCGTTGTTTCTGTAATTTTCTGCACCCTTTCGAACGGGGGTTTTAATCCGTCCGCTCAGCCGCTGCGGTTAATAGGGGCGAAGAAACGAGAACAGATCTCGTCGGATTCTAATAAATCATTCGATCGGTATCGTTCTTTGTTCCTGTGTTTCTTTCATTTAATCGTATTCTGTGATGGTTCTATTTTATTGCTCGATGTTTTTCGTTTGTCATAGTATTACTCGTGGAATATCATCAACAGTCACTTTGGTAATACAAATGGAGGCACAAAGAAAGTTCTGAACTGTATGTACAAGGAAATAAATCTGTACAGAGTCTAACTGGTTGTGAAACGATATTTCTTAATTTATACGCTGGTAACTGATTTTCGTTTATTACGCACAAATGTCTGGCAATGAGACGCGGGATCCGACCGAATTATTTTATGGATCGAGTAATAGAAAAATCCAGAAATTTGTGCTAATAAAAAATTTGAACAGATGTCAACCAATTCTGTTCGACACCTTTCAATTATTGCGATGAATCTTATTGTCCTTCTACCTTTTACTCGATCCTTTCGCTCCTTTTAACAAGATATACCAATATTCGTACACTTTTTTATTTTCTCAAGCAAAATTCAGCAAACATATTGCCTTGTGTCGAAACGTCTTTGAACTTTATCGATGAAAAAAATCTACGATCGATAATGCCATCGAGGAAAGAAAAACCGAAAATCGTCAGATTTCCTCGCTTCGTCACGAGAGCTCCTCACTGATTGAAGTAACTCTCCAATTTTGTACAACGTTGCTACTAACCTGCTAAACGAAGGCAAAAGAAGTAAAAAAAGAAATAACAATCGATCTCTCGAGCCTTTTATTACGAGCTTTGACAAGAAACTGCGGCTTCACGCTTGGCGCGACTGCTGCAACGAAAGCTTTGATATTAACGAATGGCTTCTTGACTCTTACTTCTCTTTAACTCACGAACTCATTAACTCTCTCTTTTTATTAATTATTATACATTTATTCCTCTTCTTATTATTATCATTCTTATTATTATTATTTCCATTATTATTATTAATTACTATTATTATCTGCTGTTTACGGTCAATCTGTTCATCATTTGTTCTCCACGTCGTAATTTTAATCCACACTATTGCGTCAATCCATCATCTCGTCTTGCACTCCAAGTTTGATATGATACCACCGATCACAAGAAACAAAAAATGGGAAGAAAAAATATAGTGTATAAGAAAAGAACACATATAGACGAACGAACGAATGAACACGAAACACCCATGTTTTAACTACAACACGATTTTTTATTTATCTTCTTTCCCTTTTCTAATCGACGATATCGTACGTCTACGTACGACTACACAGCGTTCGAGAAGAGGATGGACGATCGGAAACATATTCACCCCTCGATCGATCGATCGATTCATTCATTCACGAATGGACATAAATACTTTTCGACGATGATTCGTACACGTAACGAACGATCAACTAACAATGAGAAAACCTGTCGTTGATATACTGGCGTACTTAAGTTTACACGATTAAGCGTAGTCCTACTATGAATAAACTTGGAGAAAATGAAAGGTCGCGCGTTGTTCTCGTGGATCGGTGTATCGATCACGATCTATGCTGACAAGTGCATAGATACGCACGAATCATAATTGAAATAAGCAAATGACGAGTGGATCTCGATGTTACATTTTTTAGGAACAGCGTCGTTCTACTTGTGTCTTCCACCTTCCTCCTTTTCTCGACGGAAAGCGTTTCTTTCACGGAATACGTTTTACTCGACGAGAGAACAAAAAGAAAGAACGAAACGAACGAAACCGACAGTGTGCAAAGGAAAAAAAGAAAGGCAAGAAGAAAAGAAGGAAAAGGAAAGGAAAGGAAAGAAAGAAAGAAAACAAAAGGAAAGAAAGAAAAAAAGAAAGAAGAAAGAACAAGGAACTCGAATACCTAAACCGATCTTACTCCTTCTATTTTCTGTTTCCTCTCTTTTTCTCTTTTTCCCCTCACTATCTTGTCTATTTCTATATTTTCTGTCTTTCTCTACCTCTTTATTACGAATCTTCTTGATAACCTGGCCCTTTTCTTACTATACGTCTTGCTATGTCCCGCTTTCTTTTGTTTCTAGATATTGCAGAACCTACAAAAAAAACGCACTGAGCGGAGGGGGCGCCTAAGTTCTGACAATATGAGTAAAAAGAAGTCCGGTTTCAGCAAAAGCGACCTTATTTTTAAGGTAACCCGCCCTAACGAATGCGCGAGCTCTCGTCCGCTCGAGGTTCGCGATCGTGTTCGTCGAACCCGCCTCGAGACCACCTTGGGTCCCGTTTTCACGAGACTCGAGCGAACCACGCCGACTCTGTCCGCCCTGTGTTCTTCTCGCAAAACCAAAATGCCAAGAAATAAAGGAATTTCTAGCGAAGAATATCCTTAAATAAATATATTACGATAAATATCTCGTTTCGTAAATATTTGATGAAACAGGGAATCGGATGAGTTTACAAAAAGTACATATAGCCAGTTCCCATGAAAACGAACTGGATAATTCACGGTCGATTTGTCAGGCGAATAAGTAAACGGAATGAGAAGGCATGAACAGAGGAGAAAAAGGAGAGTCAGCAGTGTGTCGTTCGATCGATGTCTCGCGAAGAACAGGAAGAGCGATCACGAGGAGGCTGGACGCAGGAGCTGTACGCTGATTGGCTCGTTGGTTTATTACAAACATTCGCTTCTACTATCCGCCGCATTATACATTACATATTACCCGCAGCAATAGGCTATGCTTCTTATACATTCACCATCGGCACCCGCCTAGCGATGAGAAAGTACCAAAGTGTATTTTTATTCCTACAAATATATATATATATCTATATATATATATACATAGATACATACATACAATATATTGTGTGTGACATTACTATATATGTATATATACTTTGGAGAAATTTCATCGACCAAACTCAAGTTGTGAAAAACAAAAAAGTGATATAGAAGAAATATATATATATATATATAGATAACGAGAAAAATATGTAAAAAAACGCCCTATTCTCGAAGTAGTCAGAGCTGATTTTCTTTCTGACTCGTTTTCGAGACGATCCGTCATTTCGTTGTCGAAGTTGGCGAGTTATTCGTTCCCATGCGCGAAATCAACGAAAAGAGAAACAATAGAAAAAAAAAATGAAATAGGAATGGTAAATAAAATACTCGACTATCGTGAAGAAGCAGACGTCTCCACGTCTAGATGCAATCGTCTACTCGTGGATCCTTCCTCTCTCTTTCTCTCGACCATCTCTTTGTCTCATCCACTTGGTTTTTGTCGTGTTTTAATATATATGTTTCCTTCTACTTATCCGCTTTTCCATCCTTCGCGATTTTTTACAGAGAAAAAAGAAACCGAAAGTATTTGTCTTATTTCTTTCCGCCTGGATAGAAATAATTTATCTGTCTCTATTTCTCTCTGCTCTCGCGATCTCCTTCCTATCCAGCAAACAACCAAATCGTCACACGGCATGTGTGTTCCATTAGGACTTTCTCAACGCTTCCCAGACGACCCTCTAGTTCCATGGAACGATTGATCCGACGAGCCGGAAGAACAGATGGCCGCACTCTTTGCTACGATACCAAAAGCCACTGTCCACGCACTGTCTCTTGAAACGCTTTTTTTATCGCTAGACGGTGTGCACGATCCTTTGGAAACGAACGCACGTTGATTGGGCGTCCCTTCTCTGTCGCTTTGTTGCAAATCGCACACTGTTGTCCGCTGTTAGCGATGGGCGGTCGACTCTCTGCCCCGGGTTTTCGCGAGACTCTCCCTTGCTCGAATTGCTTTCGATGTTTTCGGGGACGTTGGGGATCCGGGGGATATGGTGAAAGTCTCTAAACGGGGTCACGAAAAATTCCGAAGAGTTTTAAGGAACCGTAAGACTTTCATTTACTATGGAATATTTTACTCATTTTATGTTAGGTTTAAAACTGATCGAAATATTAATTAACGATATCTCTTCAAAAATCCTGCAAAATTAGCAAAAATGTAACTGTGGTGACTGGTTATAGTTACAGAGTTCGACGAATTTGGAGAAAACGTAGATGATAAAGAAAGTAGTGGTAGCAGTAGAAGGTAGAAGGAAAAATCGTCATCTTTTGCTTGGAGTAAGCTAACGTTGTATTTAAGTGTACCGAATTCATGTTGTATATTCACCATGTAATTAGCACTTTCTTTTCAGATGTATTGAAATGTGTGGTTAATAAGTAGGTAACATTAACACAAATATTCAAATATAAGTATTTAAAGAAAAATTTAAAAATCGATATTTCTCTTTGTGAATGTAAATAGCACTCGAACTGAGAATTAATTAAGAATTGTTTCAGCAAATCACGTTCTGCCACGGTGATTAATAAATAAATAACATTGGAACAAATATTCTTTGCAACTGTATTATAATTAGAAAATTGATATTTGTCTTAATGAATCTAAATAACGCTCATACTGAGAACTAATTAAAAATTCTTTCAGTAAATCGCATTTTAATCATAATGATCAACAACTAGATACCGTTAAGAGAAATATTCTTTGTAACTTTATAATAATCAACTAAGAAATTTCATATTTGTCTTAATGAATTCAAACAGTACGCAGACGGAGAACTAATTAAGAATTCTTTCAGTAAATCACGTTGTACCGTGAACTAATCTGTTTTGTACTTTCTGTAAGTATCTTTCTATTCTAACTTAAGTATCTTACAAATGAAAACTAGAAAAATCAGAAATTATCTCTTTCGTACCTATAAGTATCTCTTCGTAGGACAAACCATATTAAGCGGTGTTTAATTTGTAATTTGAAATTAAAAGCTATTCTAAGAACACGGCTAACGTCTTTGAAGGCTCTTGTCTAAACTTTTCATAGACTAGAAGCGTTCGAAGCGATTCGACATTCGCAATTACGCGTTCAATAGCGATTCGAGAACGTGTCAAGCCGATCGTCACAGCTAATCGACTTGAGAATTTACCCCCGAAGAGAACCACCCACCCCCGGTGTC